GTCTCTCCTCCCTCTCTCCCTCTCCCTCTGCATCTCCCTCTCCCCCTCACTCCCTCTCTCTCTTTCCCTCTCCCTCTTCTCCTCTCTCCCTCTCTCCCTCTCCCTCTGCATCTCCCTCTCCCCCTCACTCCCTCTCTCTCTTTCCCTCTCCCTCTTCTCCTCTCTCCCTCTCTCCCTCTCCCTCTGCATCTCCCTCTCCCCCTCACTCCCTCTCTCTCTTTCCCTCTCCCTCTTCTCCTCTCTCCCTCTCTCCCTCTCCCTCTGCATCTCCCTCTCCCCCTCACTCCCTCTCTCTCTTTCCCTCTCCCTCTTCTCCTCTCTCCCTCTCTCCCTCTCCTTCTGTATCTCCCTCTCCCGCTCACTCTCTCTCTCTCTCTCCCTCTCCTCCTCTCTCCCGCTCTCTCTCCCTCTCTCTCTTGCTCTCACTCCCTCTCCCCTCGTTCTCGTTCTCTTTTCATTTCTCCCCCGCTTACACTGCCTGATTATATTGGACCCTCTGAGTCTGTCTCCCGCTGCACTCTCCCCCTCCTCGTCGATTCATCTAGCAACTCTACCTTGTGTTTGTATCATACCTGTCCGACTTTATGCTATCCACCACTGCCTCCAATCTCCCAAATTACATGAATATTTGATGTCGCCTGGAAACAAAAAGCCGGGTGCCAAGGCGATGGCATAATATACGTTATTAAAGCCCAATCTGGTGGCGTGCATAATTCATTAACTAACTCGGAATTGTCAGGTAATTAGACTGGCTCTGAGGTGATGAATTGCTAGCATATGGCCGCGTGCATGGCATATGGTTGCGCTCGCTGCCCGGCACGCACGCACGCACGCACGCACGCACGCACGCACGCCGGTAGTCCACGCTGGTTTACGCAGGCATCCACCTGTAATGCAGTCATGCGGAGAGCGATGTGCGTTCTCCCCGCTCTCCCGCTCTCCCGCCCCTCCCGCCTCCCTGTGTTACGGCGGGCGGCCGGGTCGGTCAGTGATCAATGGTAGCGTTGTCGTGTGGCAGGATATTCGGGTCGTTGTTGCAGCGCACGCGGGCAGGGGGGACATTGCCATGCATGCGAGCGCGTGGGTCGAAGCGTGACACGACAGCCATGTCTGTCACACCTTGACGATATCGTGGGGCGTTCGTGCGTTCGTGCGCGTGGGGCGTTCCTGCGTCCGTGCGCGTGGGGTGTGCGTGCGTCTGGGCGCGTGGGGTGTGCGTGCGTCTGGGCGCGTGGGGTGTGCGTGTACGTGTATGTGCGCGCGTGGGTGTGTGTGTGTGTACGTGTGCGTGCGCGCGTGTGTGCGTTTGTGGGCGTTTCCGTGTGCACGCGCGCGCGCGTGTGTGTGTGTGTGTGTGCGTGTGCGTGTGCGTGTGCGTGTGCGTGCACGTGTGAACATGTGCGTGTGCGTAGACGTCTGCATGCACTTGCGTGAGTGTGCGTGCGCGTGGAAGTGTGCGTCTGCATACACGTGCAGGAGTGTGCGTGCGCGTGCGGGTGCGCGTGTACCTATTAGCATTGCGCAAGCACTCGTGTGTGCTCACTAATTATGCTTCACGCTCGCTGGCTTCCGTCGCTTGTTGTAATTACGAATGGTTCACAAGTCGGTAGCAGCAGGTGTCTGTGGGCTGCTGGCTACTTACTAGTGGAATCGGGCACGTTTTCTACTCTTATCTTATTCATTAATCTCTGTTCACTGTCAGTCTCGGTTTTCGAGTTCTGCGATTCGCGGGTTGAGAGTGAAGGGAGAGCGCCGTGAAATATTTAGTCTTCGTGGTTTGTTCTAGTTGTGAGTTTCATTTTGATTCGTGATTTGGAGTAGCACTTTTAAAAACGTCGTCTTCTGCGAGGCGTTGCTTCAACTTTAATGTGTTTTTTTTTATACATCGATGTTGAAGGTGTTTCTGAGGAGAATCGAGGATCTTATAATCGGGTATTCCGCCGGTGTTTGCTTCTAGTCGTGGTTCTACATGATATTAGCGGGACAGTGGGTAAGGGCGGGGAAGGGCTAGTGTAGACAGTTTTGTGATTTGATGCCTTGCAGGTGTTTCTTTCTAGACTTGAGTTTACTTTGATTTGCGGATCGGTGGGTGGGCGCTGTAAAATATATGCGCGTGTAGTTCTAACCGTAGACGGGGTTTCGTCTTTCGGTGAATGAATCCCCGAGCGTTCATGGATGCTGAACGAGCGAGAGGCGAGTTGAGGGCGCGATTATCGTGTTCCATCGGGATGCCGGCGACCCTGCGAGTGGCAATTGGTTTCTGTTTGTTGGCACTATCCGCCGCTGTTGTCTCCGCAGCCAGTGAATGCCGCCGGCGGTCTCTTTGATGTCGTGTAATCACCCTTCTTTTGTCGGAGAGCGCTTTGCGAGAGCCACCGCAAAGACGCGAGGTCCGCCCGCCTCATTTTTTCGCCACGCCGAAAAGCTATCATCTTCTGTCGCCTGATATAACCCGGCAAGCAATCATTCTAGATTCGTGTGTCAACATCGTGGGGGGAGGGAAGGGATACGCGGTGTTACTGCGTCCCATCAATCATTTAAATCGCGGGCGTGAAGGCGCACCCACAGTCGTCGTCTGTGTCGCTCTGTGTGCGGGCACGGGCCGAGACTCCGCCCAGGGACCGCATCTTTGAGCACGGCGCGGGAGGCTGCGAGCTAGGGGGGGGGGGGCGCTGTCAGAAACATCGTAGAGTTGATGCTAAAGTTTATGCTGAGATAGCGCTTACGACTAATGTTCATGAGTTCACGGGAAAACGTATGATAACAGGAACTTCATAATTTGATGTCACAAGACAAGTGCCAAGTTTGATTTGATCACAAAACTCAAATTAATACACGTATATTGTACATCACAGCAATCTGTGTATATTATGATGGTTAACCACATATAAATAATATCTGATGTAAAAAAAAACCACACGCTCGTGAATTTATTCTGCACAGTAACACAATAGGCGAGCGTCATGACTAATCAAAATATCCAAAACAAGAGAATAAACGCGACTTGTATACGTTTGCTTTGGTACACGATCGGTAGATAAGTAGTGTTTCTGACGTGTTTTACTAATTAATATAAAATATTAAATCACTATAATTCAAATTGCAATTCTTTGTGTAGTTGTGTTATTTTCATCTCAGTCATAACGTTACAAGAAGGTCTAGGATCTCGTAATGTGAACTTCACGATGTTTCTGTCAACGGTCTACAAGTCAAAGTTAATGTTAAGACTAATGTTAAGACTAATTTTGTTTCTGACAATGGGCCCCTGGTAAGGCTACCCGCTGGTGTGGGTAAGCGCTTTAAAACCCCGCTGTAAGTGATTGTTTTAAACCTTGCTGATCATTTTACCCCGAAAACGTAAAACTTTTAGATGAATGCAGAAATGTAGATTTTGTAGATGGTCTACGAGTCAAAGTTAACGTTAAGACTAATGTTAAGACTAACGTTAAGAATAATGTTAAGACTAACGTTAAGACTAATGTTAAGACTAATGTTAAGACTAATGTCAAGACTAACGTTAAGACTAACGTTAAGAATAATGTTAAAGCTAATGTTAAGACTAATTTTGCTTCTGACAACGGGTCCCAAACAGCCGCATCTTTGAGCCTGACGGAGGCGGTGGCGGCGGCGGCGGCGGTTTGCTGAAATGATGTGTACGCAACTGCGTATCTGCATATCTGCGCCTAACAAAGGTGTCACTACGCACGACTTAAATGTTACGTTTATAACCGTAGCAACAGACCTCAGATGAGCCCAGACACTCTGCGGCTCTTGTTGTTATTAACTATTTATTCACAATTTATTCACAATTCAATTTATTTTTAATAATTAATCAGAAATTATTGTGTTCGCTAACTGCGAGTAGTGAAATCACTGCAGTTGGTGAATTATCAGATCTTTGGAAGGTGGCAATTAACGGTGGTAGCCCTGGCTTAACAGGCGAAAGGATGCATCTTCTTTCTTCCCATACCTGCCGTTTCTACCATCCTGAGTCGTCCTTGAAACAGCCAAGCTGCGCTGTCACTGAATGCTTATGTTATGATTTGTAACCAGGTATTGTGTCACACTGATCGATGTCATCCTATTGTCGCGTGTGGCCAAACTAAGCCATCGTCACAACGGTCATCAGTGTCAACAGCTGTCAACACTCGTGTTGTCATCTGCTTAGTAAAGACTCTCAACTCAAAGCTTTCGAACGATTGTCGCATGGTCTTGTACTCGCTCGATGTGATTATACCATTGGTGTGCGTGGAATTGTTGGCAATGTTTATTATTAGGTTATCATTCTACACACCTCGCATTTCAGTTGAATGTAATAGGAGCTTCATCTTATTTGTTTGGGGAACTGGTTTATCATTAATATTGTTTTAAGGTGGCAGGGTGGGAGGCATGGACGGGACTCGTTGACTAGGTCATGAGGAGGTCACATAGTGACCAGAAGATCTCACGACGGCTCCTGTGAGGCAACTATTGCAAAGTCGTTAGGAGCTGACTGACCGGCAGTGACCGTTGGTGACCAGCAGTGACCGTTGGTGACGAGCAGTGACTGTTGGTGACTCGTGTGCGTGCGTACGTGTGTGCGCACGTGTGTTAGAATGAAGAAAATATCTGCATGTACGTGTACGTGCAAGTCTGTTGGGACTTGGTCGTGCATGCGTGCGTGCGAGCGTGCGTGCGTGCGTGCGTGCGTGCGTGCGTGCGTGCGTGCGTGCGTGCGTGCGTGCGTGTGTGCGTGCGTGTGCGTGTGTGTGCTATTGGTAGTGTGCACAGCGGCGTGTAGCTACATTTTTTTGTAACTGATATATATGATATATAATTCAGCTTTTTCGTTTTATGATAATGAGTTAGCATGACTGAATTTCTTCCTGCAATAGTCCTTGACAAGTCTAACTCTGCTAAGTGGCAACCTTCTCCATGTCTTTGTTCAATAAATAATCGTATACTTTTAAATATTCCTCCGATTTTACCAGCTCGCATAGTTCGCACAGCTGTGTGTAGCTACATGTGTGAACAACATAGTAATGGTTATAAAAATATAGTAGGGTGTTCATTAGAATGATGACCGCTGTTCACACACACAGGTACAACATGGATCCATCTTGGTCTGAGACAGGAGACAGGTATCTCCTCAAGTTGTTCCGCGATTACCTGTTCCATCAGGTACGGGAGGACGGCACTCCGTGGATAGACATGGCCCACATTGTGCAGTGCATTAACAAGGTTAGTGAAGTCTCTAACGTTGTTGCTGCCACAGTTACTGTTCACAGTGCACCACATGAACTTCCATCCCTCTAACCTTTCCCGTGGCCCTGTTTGTTCCACGGATCCATCATTTGTTCATATTCGTCAAGCTCGTTAGGACATTTCTTCGTCATCGATGTGAATCTGTCAAGCCCCCACTGACTCGCCCACTAAACGCCATCACTACATGTCACAGTCACAGGACATTTATGTTTGTCCTCCCCTTCTCACCAGTCCTTTTTTCGTCACCTTTCATGTACTAGTCCCGAATAATCGTTAGCTTTTCCTCCTCCCACATAACTGTTCATCTCTCCAGTGTCTCCTACTCATCATTGGTGTTCATCCGTCAATCTCACTCTATGCTCCTGTGTGTACATCATCTTGCCCAATAAACAATACGTTGCAAGTTACAGGACGTCTTGCATTGCATCACCTTTCTAGATTATAGGTGAATTTCTACTCGTGGATTAATGAAACCGAAGGTTAAACAATGGTTTAGTGATGGTGCTTGACAGTTTATGTCATATTGAATGTTACCATATCAAATGTCACCCAATCAAACCTTACCTTGTCAAACCTTACCTTGTCAAACCTTACCTTGTCAAACCTTACGGTATCAAACCTTACCGTAACAAATGTTACCATGGCAACGTTGGGAGTGAGGGCTTCGCGATTCATCGTTTATGTTTTCGTCTTCTCGGTGCGCAGCTGGACGCCGGCGTTCCGGAGAAGGTGCAGCTGATGTCTCGTGACGAACAGAACATCCTCGTCGTCAGCTACGCCGACCTCAAGCACTGCGTCGAGACGTCGTACAGCGAACTGCTGCATCCCGTCGGAGCTCCGCATCTCAACGCTCAGCTGCCGCCGCCCGGCCCGCCCCCGAGTTAGTGCGGAGGTCAGAGGTCGCGTCGGCGATCGACGGTCGCAGCTGGCAGCCTCCGATGACGACGAAACGATCCTCTCGTGTCAAAGGTCGGTTTGGTGGTCAAAGGTCACCGATGGTGGTGTTGGTTGGCTGGACGACCGGCTCTTGTGTCAAAGGTCTCATCAGGGGTGAAAGGTTGCGGGCGGCGATCGCGGGTGAATTTCATGAAACTACGTGTGTAACATTTTGTGTGGTGAAACGTGAGTAGTTCTATACGGAAGGTTTAACCGTAAAAAGACGTGTGTTGCTGCTGCTGCGCTAGCGTGATAGATCGCATAAATGACTGCGCTACTACGTGGATGTATGCAATGCGATCGGTTTCAGCGATTGCAGTTTCCTTCACGAGACCAGACGAGCTGCTATTGGGGGCCATTAAGTTTATAGCAAGATCTGTAGATACCCAGTAACGTCTAGTCGGGGGGGCTTGGGGTCCATGATTGCTAGTGACGCCGGTATTACGTACGCCTCATCAGCATTAACGATACGATACGTGCATTTGAGGAGGGAGGGGGGCGGTATTATCTCCGTGGTGCTTTGCGCTTGTGAGCGATGTCACTTGCTACATGTCGCACTGTTTGCATCGGGCCAGCGAAAACTTCAACTTTAAAGTCGTTGCCCGTATCTGCTAGTTAATGCTCATTTTCGAAGTTCGCGTACGTATGTGGGATTACGTGTTCGCTGAGCTTCCATGTCGTACTTCGCCTAACGATTAACTAGGTATGACAACGATGTTAGTTGTTACGACAATGATGTTAGTTGCTATGACAACCGTGTTACTTGCTGTCAATACCGGGGCACGTCGGGACGCGGTATATTACGTCATGAATCATTTAATCAATCCGTTATATTCGCGGCCGTTGCATGCGCACGGCGCTGATAAAGGGTGAATATGGAACTCTCTGCAGCCGATAGCATCCATCGCCGCGCTCCCTTTTCACGTGGCAGATTGCATACGCAATTCTTTGAAGTATCGAAAATTAACGTGCGCGATATCGCGTGCAATATTTATCGCGTTCGGAAAATTATTGATGACGCCAAATGAACTTATAGCCCGTGCGCGCGCTCCGACGACGACGACGACGACGACGACGATTCGAGGGGTGTGACGTCACGGCTGTTAGGATGCGGCGACGGAGCACGCAGCTTCCCGCTCGCTAGAAGATGCGACGCTGGCTCTGCCGCGAGTTGCGCGCGCCATGGTCGGAGATGCGCTAACGGAGCGTGCGGCCTCACATACACACACACGCACGCACGCACGCACGCACGCACACACACACACACACACACACACACACACGAATGTAGGAGCTTGCAGCCTCTGCCAGCGTGCTAAGGGATGCTCCAGTCATGCAGGCTGCGGAAAGTTCGCTCGAAATGTAGCGTGTATGTGTCCTCTTCGTTTACGCTCGCAAGCGGTTCCTATAACAGGTTTTCAAAGGACAACACACAAACCAACAGGAAGCAAATGGGTTTCGTCGTTCGTCTACGCGTTTTGAGTTTTTATATTTTCTCATCCGTGCGGTTTATTCTCCTTCGCGTCGGTGGTTCAGCTGTGTTGTGTTTTGGGCACTCATCCCTCACTATCTAGTATCGTTTCTTCATCCTCCATGCATATAAACTAGCGGTGGTGTCACAATGCTACGCTCTATATGCCCGCCCCCTCCTAACCTAGTCCCTGTTCCAGATTGTTGCCCCCATCCCTCCACGAACATGTCCCTTTGTCTATATAGCTATTACCCACAGAAATGTATAGATAGTCTATATATAAAATTATATATATAGTATAATATATCTATCCACGCCACACGCATGCTTCGCTGTCTCGCTCCCTCGTCTCTCTGCAGTTTCTTTTCTCTACTAGATATAATCGTTACCACACTAAAGCTGTGATCTTAAATACATATTGACGCTCATTAACATCCATGCATAATGCACCTCATAATATCGTCTCGTACTTTTTGAAAGCAACGGTCACGTGACCCGGCAATGATTTGCTGACTGGCCCTTAGGTTGTGTCACCCTATGTAACCTCTCACTGAAACGAAGCGTTGACCGCCTAATTAATGTAGCATTACTCGCTAGTCTAAATATTGCTCGCCTTCTTGGCGTATGATGAATTTTTAAAACCCCGATACCTGTAGCCAACATGTAGCCATGAACACCCACAGAGAGAATACAAGGGTTACTGTGTGCGTGCGCGTATGCGATTTTATATGCGTTTGATTAACCCTATCACTCATCTTATCGTCAATCTCAAAAATCGTCGTCATTAATGTATTTGAGAATCTTATATATATACTGAGTGAAATAACTATTATATGCCACGTGTGTGTGCGTGCGCGCACATGTGTTTGTGTGTGTGTGTGTGTGTGTGTGTGTGTGTGTGTGTGTGTGTGTGTTCCTGCATGTGTTCGTACGAGTGTATGCGTGCGTATGTGCTTATGCGCGTGCACGCGCGCGTGTGTGCGTGTACAGACGTATACAGTAGCCAGTCGCATCAGCGGATTCGGTAATGGTAGTTTCTACCCCTGGTTTCGCCATCGCGGACCTATTCAATCCCGCGCCAGGGTACTTTCCTGTCTGTATTTAATCCCATTATTAGAGACATAAAACATCTGGTTCCTTAGTAACGCCCGAGCCGCATGGAAACACAGGGAGAGAGCGCGAATTAAAATGGAAGCTAGTACGGGAGGGTAATTTGTCAATTGCGCCTTTCCTCTTATAGATCAGCCCTATATCATGGAGCCTATATCATCAGCGCTATATGATGGAAACTTGCTGTCACCAATGTTATAAATTGTGCCCTCTGTCCCTCTCTCTCTATGATTCTCCCTTCCCATCTCTCTCTGCTTCTCTCTGCGTTCATCAGTTTATGAACTCTCTATCAGGGCACGTTAGTCGGTGGCTACAGAATAGGTTTTTATTATTAATAAGGTGCATCGCAGCAAAATCTGTTATAGTTGCGCGTTACTTTGTTAATTGCCAGAGGGCTAGCGTCATTTCTCGGTTCTCCGGCTATATTGTCCTAATTTATCATTTGTGTTAATTAGTAATTAGCAAAACTTAACACTCGTGTAAAAGAAACCATACATGCATCGTATTAAAAATTTAGCTGTGTAGGTGTGACGCATGCGGCGTGGGGGAGTGTGCTAATGTTAATTATACATGTACAAGCGTACACCGGCCATAACGACCTCGATCTCGCTGTAACACATACACATCTACTGTCTACGCACCACATGCTCAAATAAGGCCTTGCGTGTAGACACAATGGGAGACTTG